ATGGGGGAAGGATTGCATGGAGAGGATTGTAACCATGGCAATGAGAAGATATATGATAGAAAGAATGTAAAACTAATGTTCTCCCATGTAAACTATCACGTAATTCACAATAAAACATTAAAATAAATAAATAAATAAAATAAGCACACACACACACACACACACACACACAAAAGTGATATGCTGGTAAGATTACTACACTAATCTCTGAATTCACTATTTCTTCTCCATTTTGTTACCTTGGTGTGCATCAAAAGTCCTCATGAGTTTGTAAATCTGCAGGTAGCCATGCCTCATTCAGATTTACTATTGATTTGGAAATTGACTAATTGGACCAACTAACTGAACATTTGTATTTTCAAAATAAAAATTTTAAATTGTATGTCCTTCATACACTTTGATTTCTACCAAGATTGAGAACTGCAGATCTTGTTAATTATTTGGACAAGGGACTTAACTGCTTTGAATGTGGCCTTCATTTGAACGGTGGAATGCCAATGTTTGCCCAATCTTACTCTGAGTTATCATAAAAATTAATGAGTTTGCACTCATGTAAACACATACACATGTATTTCATATATTATTCATCTTATCTATGTGATTTAAAATTTAACCTCTAAGGAACATTCCCAACTTCTAGTGTGGCAAGGTAGGATCAGCATGGCAATGGGAACCACAAGGTCAGAAGTCCAAACCCACAAGATGTTCCTTGAAAATGCTACACAGGGTCACTCTGAATCGGAACTGATTCAACTAGAACTAACTCGACTACAGTTAACAACAAAAAGGATTGTTCCTGCTGTACTTCTTCTAACATATATTTATCATTTTGGAAGTGCATTTTGCTTTTAATATTCTCCTCTACTACCATGACTCAAATGCATCCTTCTACAATCTTCCTTATTCATTGTTCATTTTTTACATGCACATGAGGTTATTGAAATACCATGGATTAGTTTAGGGGCACCGTAGTCCTCAAACTGACATTTTTGCTCTTGAACACTTTAAAGAGGTCTTGTGCAGCAGATTTGCCAAATGCAATATGTTGTTTGATTTCTTGATTCCTGCTTCCATGAGTGTTGATGGTTGATCTGAATAAGGTAAGGAAGTTGACATGTTACAATTCGGCATCAGCTATGTTTGGGATACAGTCCTTTGGTCAGGACAGCCTCTTCCCAGATAGGCCCCTCTCTGGCCTTTGGCCTCATGATGTGGCCTCTGCCCTTTTGGGGCAATGTTATAAATCTCTTTAAGGGCTGTCAATAAATGCCCCATAGACATTCTACTCAGCTATAGATCTCAGTCTGAAGGCACTTGTTTCTAGCCCCATGGACCAGTGATCTTAGCTCTGGATCTGGCTAGTTCTGGAATTATTTAAGTGGATTCTTAAAGGCTTTTTATTGTGATGCATAGTCTATGTCTCTAAACTCTGAAGAAAGGTATACATTCACAAATTCCCCCTTCTTTTCATACTTCCTCTCCAATCCCCCTTTTCACCCCTTGCCATAATTTGAACAAATAAAATAGACATTTGAAAAATATGATGATTCATAAGTATAATAAAATGGTTACTATGGTTTTAAAATCTAATTGCTAAGATGCTCACCTTGGCTTTCAAATCCTCCAATTCTGTGTCTGAGTCTTGCTTTTAGCCTTTCCTCCCTGGGTTTCTGACAATGCATGTTCTAGCTAAGCCTGACACTTGCTGTTCATCTTTAATACACCAAGACCACCTCATTATCTGATTCTTTTTCACAGATGACAGCAGCTGAACATTCCCTCCCCTGCTACAATCTAAGCTTTCCATTCCTATCTGTGGGGACAATGCCCAGTTCAAA